TGAGCTAGAGAGGGATGTAGAGTTGAGGGAAGCATTTTTGAGAATAAAAGAGGCTTGAGCTCTTATCATTTATTCATGCATTCATTCCTTCAACAAGTCTTTACTGGTGGTCTACATAGTACCAGGCACTGTTCTCAAGGCTGGATATGCAGCATATTTAAACATTAATAGGAAGGGCCCGGTAAAAAAAAAAAGGAAAGATTGAGGATATAAGAAAAAAAGAGAAAAATAGGGAAGAATTCTGAGGGCAGAAGAGATCCTGAGCACAGGCAGAGGATTAGCCTCCAAGTCAACAGGAGGGACATCTCTCATCTGAACAGAAAGAAGACAGCAAGATGGCGGAGTAGAAGGACGTGCCCTCACTCGTTCATGTAAGAGCACTGGAATCACAGCTAACTGCTGGACAATCATCGACAGGAAGACACTGGAACTCACCAAAAAAGATACCCCACATCCAAAGACAAAGGAGAAGCTGCAGTGAGATGGTAGGAGGGGTGCAAACACAATAAAATCAAATCCCATAACTGCTAGGTGGGTGACTCAAACTGGAGAACAATTATACCACAGAAGTCCACCCACTGGAGTGAAGGTTCTGAGCTCCACGTCAGGCTTCCCAACTTGGGGGGTCAGGCAATGGGAGGAGGAATTCCCAGAGAATCGGACTTTGAAAGCTAGTGGGATTTGATTGCAGGACTTCAACAGGACTGGGGGAAACAGAGACTCCACTCTTGGAGGGCACACACAAAGTAGTGTGTGCATCAGGACCCAGAGGGAAGGAGCAGAGATCCCATTGGAGATTGAACCAGACCTACCTGCTAGTGTTGGAGGGTCTTCTGCAGAGGCGTGGGGCGGTGGTGGCTCACCACAGGGACAAGGACACAGGCAGCAGAAGTTCTGGGAAGTACTCCTTGGCGTGAGCCCTCCCAGAGTCTGCTATTAGCCCCACCAAAGGGCCTGTAGCCTCCACTGCAGGGTCACCTCAGGCCAAACAACCAACAGGGAGGGAACTCATCCCTACCCATCAGCAGACAAGCAGATTAAAGTTTTTCTGAGCTCTGCCCTCCAGAGCAACACCC